TCTGCATTCGGGTGTTTCTAGACGTTTTAGTACTATTTGGCGAAAAGTTAGAAATTTGAAGGTTTGGAATATTTATAAGTTTGGACGGGAGTTGACTTTGATGTTATCGGGTTCGGATTGTTGTTCCGGGAGTTGGAATAGAATCAGACACTTGGTTCAAAGTTTAAAGTTTATGAACTTAATAGATTGATCTTGATTGATGATTCGTGGCTTTGACGTTAATATGTAGGAGTTGAGGCCTTGAGTAGATCCATAATATGTTTTGAGGCTTGTTGGTATGTTCAGACGGGGTCCCGAAGGGTTCGGGTGAGTTTCGGGGTGGTTTCGGACCATTTCTAGGCCTTTTTTAGCAGCTAGTTTTTTTTGCCACGGAGGTGTGCATCGCCATCGCGGACTTTGGGTCGCGTTTGCGAAAAGTAAATTGTTGTTTTGGGCACGGTGAATCGCGATCGCGGAAGCCTTTTCGCAATCGTGTAGAAGAAAATTCTGATGTCACTGACCCAACTTTGGAAGCTTATATCTTGCAATCTGTAAAGAATTTGGAGATGATCCAAAATGAAAGTTGAATTCCTTTGTGTCTAGTTTTCTGAAAATAAAATCGTTTGTCATTTGGAGTTTTGTAAAAAAAATGGTTATGTCTGAAACACTACAGGCTGTCTAAGAAGAGTTTGGGAAGGGTAATGGAAATTTGTTCATCGCGATCACGGGAAAATAGCCGCGATCGCGAAGGGTAAAATGTATGCTAGAAAATTTTTGAATGCGATCGCGAGTTTGGTGACCGAGATCGCGAAGGGTACCCCTGGAATAGTGTATAAGTACTCTATTTTCGAATGTTTCAGATATTTTATCATATTTGAGCTATGGAGCTCGGATTTGGACAATTTTTTAGGCAATTTTTACCACAAGGATTGGGATAAGTGTTTTCTACTCGGTATTGATTTTATTCCGTGATTCCATCTCCGATTTTGGTAATTAATTGGTGATTTTGAAAGAGAAATTGGGGTTTTTTGTCTAAACTTTCCTAAAGTGAATTTTTAAGTTTTGAATATCGATTCGGGGTCGGGTTTGAGTAAAATTAGTATGGTCAGACTCATAATTGAATGGGTTATCAGAATTTGTGAGTTTTGTCGAGTTTCGAGGTGCGGGTCGGGTTTGACTTTTCGGTTGACTTTGGGCTTTTGATTAAAGAATCGACCTTTATCGATTGGGTTTGTTTTCTTGACATTATTTGATTTTTTTGAGTTACTTTTGGCTAGTTTCGAGCCATTCAGAGATCGATCCGCGCGGGGTGGAATTTCTAGATTATTGTTTGGCTTGCTCGATATTGAATTTGGCTTGTTCGAGGTAAGTAACATATCTAAACTTGGATTTAAGGGTATTTAATCTTGGGAACTGTGTTATAAGAGATGTATTGAGGTAGCGCACATGCTAGGTGACGAGTGTGTGAGCGCGCACCGAGAAAATCATGATTTTAGTTGACTAGTAGACTGTGACCGGACTTGCTTTGTTGTTATATCTTGTTACATACATGTTCTCCCTACTCATTTGATTATATTAGCCGTGAATCATGTTTAGGCTATGTGATTATTCGGTTTAGACCTAATGAGGCTATTTCTGTTTTTTTGAGTTATCTACTCTAACTGTAATTATATACTAAGTCATGATTCTTCATTTGCATATCATATCTTACTCTGTTTATCATTCACTGTTACATCACATTATCATTGTTTGGGTTGAGTGACATGAGATATGTGAGCCCGTGAGACTAGAGAGATTGATGACTGAGTTGAGGCCTGAGAACCGTGTTGTGAGTGATATTGTGGATCGGGCTGCACGCTGCAGCAGGCCTTATTGGCTTTATATACATTATTGTTATGGATCGAGCTGCACGCTGCAGCAATCCTTATAGGCTTTATCTATTATTATGGGATTGGGCTGCACACCGCAGCAGGCCATATTGGCTTTATATAAGCACTTGGGCAGGATCTGCCCCTGACATACCAGCAGTGAGCGCAGGTACCGTACAGTGTTGAGTGATTGATTGTGCTGAGCGATTGAGAGCGATAAGTGGGAGTGTGAGACAGTGAGATTGAGTACTCTAAGAGTGTGAGTACATGAGTTTATCACTGTGATGCATTACATTTGACATGCATACTTGGCATGTAGGCATAGAGATGCATTTTCTCATGATATACGGTATTGTGACATTCATGACGTCTCATGCACATTGACATGTAGCCATAGAAACGTACTTTCCTCATGTTATCTGATAATGAAATAACTTATCTGTTGTTGACAGTGTTTGGGAAAAATCACAGTTTTCCTGATATACTCATATTTTGGTAATTTAGGTGAAAGATTTGAGTTTTTACTGTTATACCTGAACGGCATGTCTATTTTCCGTAACTGCGAACGAGCTGAGTATCATATCTTTGAGTTATTATTTGTATTGTTTTTATTTTATTGTTACGAGTTGTTCTTGGCTATTGGTGTTGGACTATGACCGTTCTCTAAGCTCGTCACTAGTTTCAACCTAAGGTTATGTTTGTTACTTATTGAGCACATGGGGTCGGTTGTATTCATACTACACTTCTGCACCTTGCGTGTAGATTTTGGAGCTGATGTTGCTGCGTATGGAGAGAGCTGGCATTGGAGATGTACCTGCGTTCCGGTTATAGCTGTCTCTTGTTCTTGGTAGCCATAGATTTATAAATCTGTTTATGTATATTTCGAACAGATAATATATTTGTTTCATGTCAGCTTTGTAAACTCTAAACTTAGAAGCTAATGATTTGTACTGCCAGTCTTTGGTAAGTTGTATAAAAGTTCAGTTACTTCATCATTTATTTTTTCCCGTAAATTTCATTGTATTGAATTGTTATTAATTGACTTACCTAGCGGGTTGGGTTAGGTGCTATTACGACTAATTGAATTTTAGATCGTCACATTAATAAACTTACCAAAACTTCTAGGCTGTTCACATTGCTTATCTGCCTAACAAAATGTTGATGTAAGAATTCTACCTCTAAAGCTGCATTTATTGAGTTTAGGTCGGTTAAGAAATTAAGTGCACGTCTTTTAGTTCTTTCATTACGCAGGGGCTCAGGAAAGGGAGACAGATAGAATTGAATCTACACCCATGATATAAGAGACTTCCATAGGTATTACTATATTAGTGGTAACAAAATAGACTTAAAAAAATAGTTATTCATTCATATTATTCATTAAAACAAAAGTTGGATAATAAAATTTTTTAAAAAAATGTCAAATATGGATAAGATCCATACTATCCACTTAAAAAATGAATAACCAATGGGTTTAACTTTTATATTTGCAAAGATTAAAATTGGGGGTTCAAGTTTGGAAGACTAAAACTTCTCCCAAAAGACCATATTCAAGAAGTCGATTAACCTATTTTCTATCTGTATTAAATATAAATCGAATTGGATAATTTATCCATTGTTGCATTACCCGTTTCCGACTCGCCCATATTCGACCTGACCCGACCAACATGTTTGCCACCCCTAACTAGACTATAAGCCTTCTTTAGTCAAGTGTCAGTTTCCATTTCATAAAGTAAAGAACTGGGGGTCTATCGGAAACATTATCATTGCCCTTCCAGAGTAGGGGTAAGGTTGCGTCATCCTACCCTTCCCAGACTCCACTTGTGGTAATACACTGTGTTATTGTTGTTGTAAAGAAACCTACAAGAGATGAAAAGAGAAAAATGAACTTTAAACTTCCGACAGTGAAGGTGCAAAGAGCAAAGAGACTGCAGTTGCTCAATTGTGTACATTACAAGAGTACCCGTTTGACCCATATACTTCATTCGCTTCTGGCAACCAAAATAGGGAATTAGGCAGCTAGCCAAATGCTAAGCTAGCTGCTGTTACCAGAACCTTCATGCTGTTTCACAACTTTTCGCATTCAAAACTTGTTGGTCCAAGGATGTATAGACGTATCAATGAATCATTTAACTTAAGCATCTCTAATGTAATTAGGCAGGAAATAAAAGACAGATGTAACGGGGAAACATTAGTTTACTACCTATAACTGAGCGTAGTTGAAGATAATTTTTAGGGAAAATGCATAAGTAACCCCCTGACCTATACCCGAATTCCCAACGACACACTTTTTCTTTGCGGGAATCCTATTACCCCCTAAACTTATTTTAAATGAAATTATTTGCACCCTTAACGCTGACGTGGCAGAGTGTGTATATTTCACTCTCCTTTGAAGCAAGAAAAAACAATTTTCAGATTATTTTTTATTCTTTTTTACCATTTTTTCTTACTTTATTTTTCCTTTTCCTTTTCCTTTGTCTTTTTTCTTTTACTTTTTTTTTCGTTTCTTCTCTAATTCCGGCAGATATTCATTCACCGGCGACTTTGTCTAACCGTTTTTCTTCTATTTTTTCTTTTCACACACAAATTAAATTCTAAAAAAGATCTATTCATAAGCAAAAGAAAATACACTCAGATTTGGGGGGAAAATTCATCATCGGAAAACTTTCACACGCCGGAAAAAAAATGATGTATTAAAATTTTAACTGAAAAGAGTTTTCTCAGCTTATANGGGGGGGGGGGGGGAATTCATCATCGAAAAACCTTCCTATGCCGGAAAAAAAGTGATGTATTGAAATTTTAACTGGAAAAGGTTTTCTTAGATTATATTCGTTTTTATTTATTTTGCTCTTCCTCCCACACATAAATTACACTTTCAAGAAAAATTTATATATATATAAAACAAAACACACTTAGTTCGGGATAAAAATTTATCACCGGAAAAAAAAATTCGCCGGAAAAAATGGTGTTTGTGAAATTCCAACGACCACCATACATGTGGGGGCGCGTGTAGCTCACCACTTGCCAAGAGTTTGGTTGTCAGCGTTAAGGGTACAAATAATTACATTTAAAATAAGTTTAGGGGGGTAATAGGATTCCCGCAAAGAAAAAGTGTGTAGTTGAGAATCCGGGTATAGGTCAGGGGATACTTATGCATTTTCCCAAATTTCATCATAAAATAATAGTAGTTCATTCAGAAAGCAGCCCATCCTGAACCACATAAAAGTTACAACTGTAGGACATAAAAGGAACAGGGTGAAAGGAACACATGTTGGGAGGTAAGGAATGTTAAAGAGCACCTCCTACCTCTGCTTTTACAAAATAGGATAATAATACAAAGAGACAACTGATACATGTGGGGAGCAAAGGGGAAAAAATGGATACAGAGAAATAACATAGCTTACACTTAAATTATATCTACCGTACAGTGGGAACTCATGAACCAAGGGACGGGCACTGTTTTCTGGCATGCTCCGGAACCAACTTCAATAGAGTCTCTGCAGACACACCCTTTAACTCTGGCAAAAGAGGTATGGGTTCAATATTTTTAGTTGTGAGAAGAAAGCAGATTTGAAGGAAATTTTTAATAATGACATACCATGGGCCTTAAAGTTAAACAAGGGGGGAAGGACACGGCCATTTGGGAGGCGTGTATTAGGATCACGAAGCTCATCAAAGAAGGCATGGGTCACTGCCTCTAACTGCATTCAAATCATTACATTCTCTCGCAACTTAAGAACTAGACAATAAGTAATTAATTATATTCAAATTTCAACCACAAAGAAGAATTGCAAAGCAACATCACTTTCCCAAATAACTATCTCCAAGTAACTGAGAAGATACTAAGTCATAACATACCAAATCAAAATTTATATGGAATGGCCATTATTCCAAAATGATCACCAAAACAAAGCCAAGAGATATACACGTACCATTAACAAACTTAAGAACCAACTTCACTTATCCCTTAAATATAAAAGAGAACTAATGCCACTCAAACAGAACAAGACATTCCAGACTAAATAACTCACAAACAATTAACTCACTAGCTATCTTCAGATCCTGAAAAGCATATTCCCTTTTTTTAGCAATCTACAAAAAACATTCATGGAGTGCTGTGTGTAAAAGCTACTTACGCTAAGTCAAAGAATTTGTATGGTAAGAGAGTATCAAAATGAACAAGGTAGAAAGGGTGCTCATGTTGCCTAAAACTAAGACCCTTCAGAACCTCAAACAATTACATATTATACTGTTATTGGTAATAAAAATAAAATATGTAATAAACTGTGCCAATACAGAAGGAAAAGGAAATTGGATTTCGTTATTTAAAAAGTGATATGCTCCCAAGAATAATAGCAGCCTCTCAAACACCACACACACTGCATCTGTTTAACATTTCCAGATATTGGTAGTTTTCAGCCCAAAGTTTTAAAAAAGTTCTCCTTTGAAATAAAACATGCATCACATTTAAGAGATTAGAGGGAAAATGGTAAATTTTGGTGAGCAAAACCGAGGTTAAAGCATTTGTGAACAAAATTGGCTAGAAAGTAAAAGCTGATGTTTAGCCATTTAAAAGAACATGAAAACACACAGAAAACGCCAGAGATGCAAAAGATGACCAATCTGTCATCACTGGGCCCATAGCGGCATATAAAATACACTCTCAATGATAATTAGCATACTTACAGCAGTGCAACGCAAGTTAGGTGAGTACTGCAGTAGTCTTGAAACCAGATCAACAGCTTCTGGAGGCATGCGCTTATGAAATATCTAACATTCAACCATTAGAATTGACAAGATGCTCTATAGATACTTGATACTGCTAGGGAGGGGATGGTTCAGTAATAACTTGTATTTCAAGTACCTTGTGCCACGGATGAGCTTTAATTTGGGGGAATTTGAACTCGTTATAATTTGGATTCATGCATTTAATTTCTTCCCTGGTAGGAGTACCCAAGACCTGTAAAAGATATTGGAAAATTTGGCCCAACTGGTCAGGTTTATCTCAGGCTAAAAGATGATAAATTAAATGTCACTTCCATGCAAAAGATAGTGCATCTTTTGGGTCATGTTTACCAAGGACAACAATGGAGATATCAATTATAACAAACTTGTCCACTACTAAACAGGGACTCTCCTTTCTTTCTTGGGCAAATCATTGAACTCGTTTTACTAACAATGATTAAGAATATGAAATCATTACGTCAAGTGGAACAGGAGAATGAATGTCTAATGCAACAAAACTGGCTCTCAGCATTCAAGAGGAACTCCACTTATGGATTAGAACCAAGAATCTGAATCAGTAAATCAAAGTGAACTTGACACAAATTCGACAAGCAAATTCATGACAAATACCCAAGCAGTGGCCATAACCATTTGCCTTTTACACACTATCAGATCTGAACCACATAATTCCAGAAGCAGAGAGTCAGAAGCCTTGTCTAAACTGTAATTTGTTGGTAAGCTTATCCTGCCATTACTCAAGGATATTAATTCACAATAATCATGAAATTCAAAGCTGATCATGTTTTGGAAAAAAGGCTTTCACTTAAAAATTATCAGGTAAAAGACAAGTCAGAAAGCACAGTTCAGGCTAAGAACCAGGTTCACTCTGTGTGTCCAGGGGCGGATTTAAGCCTAGATTATGGGGCATGCCCATGACCCTCCACCAAATTAGGTATATTATGTACATATTTCGTAGATCTAATATTAACTGTTAGCCCCCATGCTCCAAAATGGCTAAACGGTGCACTTGGTTGGATGCTAGGTTATTTATCCAGAGGAACAGAAATCATTATCACTTAATACTTTTTGTTTTCCCTTTCTTTTTCTCCTTCCTTTAGTCTCGAAGCCAAGCCCCATTCCCCACTTTCAGTCCTTCCTAAACTCATTTCCAATACTTCTTATTCTCCCTAATCCCAAATTGTACTAAAGCCCAATTTTGATTTTGTGTCTCTCTCTTCATGCTCTAGAACTCTTGTTCTCAAGAAGATTTTGCTCTCAAACCCATGAGCTTTCTCTCTCAAGTCTCAACAAGGTTTTGCTTTTAGGTTAAAATTTATTCCCTTCCATTTCGATATTTGATGAATTATTCCTCTAATTTTGCATCTAAGAAGTAAGAAGATTGGCTTTAAAATTTTCAATTTTTGGTGAATGATTCCTTTCGTACAATTAAGTTGCTACAATATTGACTTAAAAAATTTCAGCTTGCTAAGCTTGGTCCACCGGTTTGTTTCAAGTGACTTCTCTCTTTTGGTTTTGTTTCTAACAAAGCTCCTTTACAGTGATTTAGTTGCATTTGGCAGGACATTTATTTGTTATCTCTAGACGTGGTGGTGCACCCATGTTCATGAAATCATAGATCCGCCTGTGTGTGTCGATATTGACCTTAGCAACTACATTTTCTTCTGAGCTCCCACATACACCTAAATCAGAACCTTAATTGTTACATCTCCTTCCCATAATCTAGTTGATAGGGATCGTACAAAACCCCCAATCAGGAAAAAGTGGCTTTTCCCTTATAAATCTCAACAACAACAACAACAACAACCCAATAAAATCCCACAAGTGGGGTATGGGGAGGGTAGTTGTACGCAGACCTTACCCCTACCCCGAAGGAGTAGAGAGGCTGTTTCCGAAAGACCCTCGGCTCAATATAATAAGAAAAACAAATAGGGGAGAATATTAGTTTCATCACAGAGATCATATGAAAAATAGGAACAAAAAATGCAGAAGGAAAAATGCAAAACAAAAATGATGGGTAGTAAATAGGTCCTGCACCGAGAAGCTAAAATAGTAAGACACGACAATGCCCCTAGCTATTCCAGGCAAAACCCTACCAGACTAGGCTCACATCAGAACAAGGTAACGCAAGACTCAGCTATCTTCTAGCCTACAACCGTAATACTTGACCTCCATAACTTCCTATCAAGTGTCATGTCCTCGGAAATCTGAAGCCTCGCCATATCTTGCCTGATCACTTCTCTCCAATACTTCTTAGGCCGCCCTCTACTTCGTCTCGTGCCCTCCACAACCAGTCGCTCACACCTCCTTACTGGAGCATCTGGGCTTCTCCTCTGAACATGTCCGAACCATCTGAGTCTCGCTTCCCGCATCTTGTCATCAATGGGAGCCATGTGCACCTTCTCCCTAATATCCTCATTTCTAATCTTGTCCATCCTAGTGTGTCCGCACATCCACCTCAACATCCTCATTTCTGCTACTTTCATCTTTTGGATATGTGAGTTCTTAACTGGCCAACACTCAGCCCCATACATCATGGCCGGTCTAACCACCGCTTTATAGAACTTACCTTTGAGTATCGTTGGCACTCTCTTGTCACACAAAACTCCGGATGCTAACCTCCACTTCATCCATCCTACCCCAATACGGTGTGCGACATCCTCATCGATCTCCCCTCCCCCGTGGATAACCGAACCAAGGTACTTGAAGCTGCCTCTACTTGGGATAACCCGTGATTCAAGCCTCACATCCACGCCCACTTCCCCCGGCTCAGTGCTGAACTTACACTCCAGGTATTCCGTCTTCGTTCTGCTCAGCTTGAAACCTTTAGACTCAAGAGTCTGTCTCCAAACTTCTAGTCTCTCGTTAACACCGACTCGTGACTCATCAATCAGAACTATGTCATCAGCAAATAGCATGCACCATGGCACCTCCCCTTGAATATGGTTTATTAATGCATCCATCACCAGGGCGAATAAGAACGGACTGAGCGCAGAGCCTTGGTGTAACCCCATTTCAACCGGAAAATGCTCTGAGTCGCCTCCTACTGTCCTAACCCGAGTCTTAGCCCCATCATACATGTCCCTAATCGCCCTAATATAGGGAACCGACACACCTTTAGTCTCCAAGCATCTCCAGAGAACTTCTCTAGGAACCTTGTCATGCGCTTTCTCTAGGTCAATAAACACCATGTGCAGATCCTTTTTTCTCTCTGTACAGTTCCACCAACCTCCTAACAAGGTGTATAGCTTCTGTGGTAGAGCGACCCGGCATGAACCCGAACTGGTTGTCGGATACAGACACAGTCATCCTCACCCTCGCTTCGGTGACCCTCTCCCATACTTTCATGGTATGACTCAGTAATTTAATACCCTTATAAATCTCGGTTGCACAAAAAAAAAAGCATCAGATGGTAACCACAAATTCAAAGGAAGGTCAGTAGGCCAAATATACAGAAGAGCAAAAGGACAAATATACAACCCAAAAAGGGTGAAAACACTCAAATAACAGCAGCAGAGAGGGGAAGAAGCTGACAAAAAGAAGTGACAGAGACAGCAAATGAGCTGATCAAGATCAAGAAAAGAGGAAATTACCTTAATGATCTCAACAAGCTGATCAACTCCACTTTCACCCGGAAACAAAGGCTGAACGCAAAAAGTAAACAATCAAATACATAAACGGAACACATAGCATAGAATAAATTGTTTCTCATCAGACAAAAGTAACAACCTACCTGCCCAAGAAGTAGCTCAGCTAGAACACAGCCAGCAGACCAGATGTCAATAGCAGTAGTGTACTCTGTTGCTCCAAATATAAGTTCAGGCGCTCTATAATACCTAGAGCAGATGTAAGAAATATTTGGTTCTCCTTTAACCTTCCAAGGATTCAGAAAGAATAACCAAACATCCAGTCACAGAATGCACAAAAGAGCCCAACTAGTAATGTGGAAGAGAGAAAGAAGGAAAATGTATACACACCAGAACTTTAGCACTTCCAAAGTCACACAATTTAACCTGGTGAGTATGTGGATTCACCTGCAAAAGGAGTTAAGACATCAGTCACTAAGTATGCCAAGAGAAAACGCCAAATGGAAAGGGGCAGAACATAATTATGCTTGATAGCAAATGAACCTAACTGTGAAGAACAATTGGTCACACCACAAGCAACTGGGAGTCTGGGAGTGGAACCACCAGCAATGAGAAGTCAACCGAGACAAGTAAACCATTTCTTTCAATGTCTATAGAATAATTTTACATCAGCCTCTGATTAACTAAGACAGTACGGATGCCAGATGTCTTGTTATATTTGACATATCAATAGAATATTTTTTTCTATTCTTCTTGTCAACTTTTTGTTTCAGATTGCCAAGAGAAACCAAAAATAGGATAAAGGACGATCTCTCAGAAGGCACGAAAAAACTTGTGGAGCCAATATAAATGTGGCAGTATTTTGTTACTCTTTGCAGATCAAGCAAATGAAAGCTTGCGCATGATTGCGGACTGTAACGACCCAACCTGTCGATTATAGTTTTAGCACCTCATTCCTTGATTTGAAGCTCCACACAGCTTTATAAGATATTTATGACTTGCCGGTATGGGTGGTTTCGATCCCGAAAGACTCGGGGGAGATTTGGAATCATGACATGCTACTTGGTGTTTAAGGAGTTTTAGCAGCAACTTTACCCCTGCATTTCAGTATTTGCACTTACATTCATGTTTCGAGACCTTGGATAGGTCCGTATGTGTTGTTGGACTTGTGGAGATGATTAGGACCCGCGGGACTCGGGTGAGTTTGACGCATTGGGAGCAAGATTGAAAAAAGTTGACAACTGAAGCAGGGTGCAGTGCAGCCAACACTCCAGGAGTGCGGTCCAAACCGTGGTCCGCACTGCTATCACTGACATTGTAGATCTACATTTCTCTCGGTCAGTGCGGCTGCCATTGAGGCCGCAATGGAGGAAGTGCGGTCCTTAATGGCCAAGTGCGGACGACACTGCAGTGAATTTTCAAAAAGGATAAATACTGGATTTTGGTGATTTTTATTTCATTCTTCACCATTTTGGAGACTTGGGAGCTCGATTTTGAAGAGTTTTGAAGTAAATCTAGATCTGCAACCTTTTGGGTATGCGATTTTAACTTGGATTTATAATTATTACATGAATCTAACCTTGAATTTGTCTCTTAAACATGAAATCAAAGAGGAGAAATGGGGTTTTGAGACCTAGATCAAGAATCACCTAAATGGGATTTTGGAATGTACAAATGGACTCTATATGAAAATCTACGCATAAAGTTAGACGGGGAGGTTATGAGTCAACAGATTTGACTTTTAGTTTCGGAGTTTGACCATGCGGGCCCAATATTGAATTTGGGTTGACTTTGACCTAAGGTTAGATTTAAAACTATGAAATTGATTCCTTTAGCCTTTCTTAACCTTGTTAAGCATACTTTTGACTAGATCAAGCTTGATTGACGGATTTGGAGCAAGAACATGCAATTCTTGCAGGTTAGAGCTAGCCTGTGCTAAAGGTAAGTCAAGACATCGACCTCAATCTCAATGAGAGAACTTTTCCCGAGGTGTCTTGGTTGCTATATGCTACGTGTTTGGGGGTAACATATACGCAAGATGACTAGCGTATATGCAGATGCCATGTGCTTCCACGCTGGGATAGAATGATATGCTTTACTTGTTGTATGACTACTTGAGCATCTTATTCATGCTAGTATAATGTTATAGGCATCATTCACCTACTAGTTTAATATTATAGGCTTTACGGACCTTTTTTTACATGATTTGAACTATTTAATCATATACCGTCTTATATATGCACCTAGTTAGCATATATTATTCTCATTATTTTATTTGAGATTGTTTATGTGAGTTGTTGAGTTGTGATGGCGTGTGAATTCACAGTCCTATTGAGGCATCAGTTAAGGCATGTGAATATATGTTCATGTAGGGACTAGGGTGTGTGGATTCACGTTCATGGAGCATGTGAATTCACTTTCCTGGCGTGTGTGGATAAAGATCCGTCCATTCACGAGTCGCCCTCCCATGTTTCTCTCTTGGTGGCGTACGCGCAGATTTGATAGTGATACCGTTGGTATTTGAGGATAAAGGTGGAAGCTTTATTATTGTTTAAGTGATTCTATATGCATGTTTATGCACTCTTATATGGTGTACTTGTGCAACAACAACATACCCAGTGTAGTCCCACAAGTGGGGTCTGGGGAGGGTAGAGTGTATGCAGACCTTACCCCTGCCTTCAAAAAGACAGAGAGGCTGTTTCAAGAAGACCCTCAGCTCAGGAAGGGGAGAGGAGAGGGGCAATAACAAGCATATGTTGTACTTGTGCATACCATTTATACATGCTAACCAGTGTTTTAAAAGGCATTTTCTAGGCGAGTCCCGGACCGAGGCGTACCAAAAACGCATCGAGGCATACTGGCGGAACTTAAGTATTGTGGTGTGTAAGCCCCAACATTCGGGGCATAATCCCCGAGGACTTTTCCAAATTTGAGCTAAAATTGCTTAATAAATCTTTCTTTAAAAACTTAAATATCCAAAAGTTAAATCACAATAAATTTTCAAACTAAAAATCTCAAAAATCAAAGATTTTCTCTAATTGTTTATCCTAGTTTCATAATGTTTTCTCTTCGTCGTTTACTACAGAGTAACAAATACACTTTAGACCCTTATTTGCAAAGTGCAATTCTTACATTGTTTCTACGCTTGCGTTTTCCTTCTTCAAGCTTCATTTTCTTCAAGTTTTTTTTTGTATTTTTTATTTATTCTTTTCCAGTTAGTTTTTGTTTCATAATTTCTTTTGGTATCCCTCTAGCTTAGATATTATTTTGATGACTATATTCTTAGCTAACCGTATTATACAATGAGTATTTGTAATTTGTTATCTAGTTTTAGGTTTTTAAAGTATAACTTTATGTTATTGTCATTTTTATTCTTTGGATTATTAGGAACTAGAATATCATTTCTATAACTCTAAGTATGTACTATAATAGTCATGTTATATGTGTAATGCATCTTTATGTCTTTCACTTTTTCAAGAAAAAGATATTCTTTTGTATGGTTCATGCATATATTAGTATGTTTATAATAGATAAATACATTTTCCAACTAATTTTATAATTTTCTTGAATTTTAATATATTTTTTCATTATATATATTTTTTTTAATTCATAAAATATTAAAAATTAAATACCCATGGGGCTTACGTCCCACGCCTCAGGACTTTTGCCTCGCCCCGTGTTAGATAAAATGTCTCGCCTCTTGCCCACACCTTTTAAAGCATTGCTTATTAGATGGATTAGACGAGATAGGATTTTTTTATTCACATGCTCTGTTTGTGCATATCTTTTATGTTATTCCTGTGCTCTTCTATGGGTTATTGCCTCATCATATGACTATTCAATTGTGGACACGCGTTGTTATTATTGCTACACTTATACACATTTTTGTGCAGATACTGAGCCTAATACTAATGGGACCTCGAAGACCGCTTAGGAGTCTTTACTTGGATACTGAGCGTAAGCTGCTTGATCAATCTGGTGCTTTGAATCACCTTCCGTTATCAATCTGTTATTGTTTTCTTCCATTCGGACAGTATTGTACTATGGTACGGACAGTTGTATTATTATTTGATGATAGTAGCTCATGTCTTAGTAACACCATTCTTGGAGGATTGTAATGATACTTTCGCATTTGTATTAGATTTCAGACTTATGTATATCCTATTAACGCCATTTCTGTTAAGACTTTATCATGTATATAGTTTTGTTGTGGCATATATTGTTGAATGCTTGCCTAGCGAGTTGAGTTAAGTTTCATCACGACTAAGGTGGGATTTAGATCGTAACACTAACAAGAAGAATGGCTCATGATGAAAGAAATTAAGTCTCAAACTCTCTCATGGGATGGTGTCATGGTGATCCAATGACTTTCATTTTCTCTTCGTATATTGAAAAGTATTGAGAACCATATCTGCAGTATGCAACCAAGGGTGTGGCCTAGTGGTCAATGAAGTGGGTGAGAACCATGAGGTCTCAGGCTCAAATCCCAACGAAGGCAAAAAACACTAGGTGATTTCTTCCCATCTATCCAAGCCTTGGTGGATAGAGTTACCTGGTACCTATCAACCTAATGTTGATGGTGGCAGATATCCCGTGGAATTATTGGAGGTGCGCACAAGCTGGCCCGTACACCACGGTTATCAAAAAAAATCTGCAGTACATAATTGTTTTCATACAGTGGGAAAGTTCATTCACACTAAGATCCATTATCAAGAAATTGCACTCCATATGTCACGCAGACTTAAATAATTAAATATATGCTAAAAGAAATGACAGCCATAAGACTGAAAAAAGCAGATGATATACCAAAAGATTCTGAGGCTTTATGTCCCTGTGGCACACTCCAATTGTGTGATGGATGTAAGACAACGCCCTGAAAATCTGCCAGAAAGTAACAGCATCTTATACTTTAGATTACTAAACTTCAAGAACGTCTGAGGATATTATTAAACTTCAAGTGCATTGACAACATGGTAAACGATACATGTTACACAAGTTTCTCATCCAAAAACCATTGTTCATTGGAGCTTTCCAAAATTAGCCATCCATCAGAAAACAGAAAAGATATGGAAATTGATAGTGATAAAATTTATATATTGCAACAGAACAAGTAAAAGAAATTCATCTAGGACAATGCAACAAGAAAAAGATAGTAAAGTTATATGAAAACTTCAGAAACAAACACAGTACCTGATATGTATAAAGCTTCACTAGTATCAATGGCATCCTTTGATTCAACTTATTGTAGTGTTTAATAACGCGATGGACAGTTTCAGGGACGTATTCAAGAACCAAATTAAGATATACTTCATCCTTCTCAGTTGTGGAAAAGAAGCAGTGCTTCAGGCACACAACATTTGGATGATCAAGAAGACGCATGGTCTGCAGCTCCCGGTTCTTATATCTCTTGTCTTGAAGAACCTTTTTGATAGCAACAGTTTCACCAGTCTCTAAGCATTTTGCCTGAGCAACCCAATGAGCAAAATCATGTGAGTAAATTGACAGGGAGGGATTATGCCAAGTTATGAAGAAAATAATGATACCTGGAAAACTACTCCAAATGATCCTTGTCCAACAATACGTTCAGCCATATAACTGATAGTCTGCACCAAACCCACATCCCAGGAATAAGCATACCCATACAACACACAAAAAGGAAAAAAGAAAAGCAGTTAGTGAATTCCATACAAAATTTTTGAAACTACCAAATTGACTGGAAAGACAGATTGCCACATTACCTGTTTTGACTGACCATGTCTACCACCAGTAGTTGTCACTATTATATGGCCTGTCTCAGTCCCATTACCATCCACAATAGCTGCTTCGATTTCCTACACATGAAACACTTTTAATCTGATAACAAATATTTTCAAAAGGAGAATCCAATGCCACTTGAAGAAACAAAATGGCCAAAAGCAGGGGATGAGGAGGCTTTTCAATATGCAAACCTTATCATCCCTGATTCTCATGTCATTCATCTCCTCAGGCAGCCTATCTACACCAACACTATGGCTACTGGATTCTCTCAAACCGGATACAGGTGCTAAGCCTACTGAAGTCATTTCCTGAAATTTTGCGAACTATTATCACCTCAAAAAGGCATTCACCTGATCAACATGGCATCATCAAGTATCAGCTCTAAGCATCTCTAAACGTATGAATAATGCATAATTCCTTTCAGCCTTTAGATTGATGTATCATGTAAAATCTACAACATTTGAGATAGAACCAGCAATCCAAAGTTGGATTTGAACGAAATTCATAAATAAATAGTTGCAAGTACTTGTAAAAATATTAGACATTATTAATTAGCAAGGTTATGTACTCAAATAGAAACAAGCCTTATGGGGTTTATCCATTTAAATGGATGTCCAGCTAGAGCTCTTCTTGCCAAATAAATCCTTTTGTCCAAAGTGAACTCTTTACTGATCAAATAACTAAGAAAGAGAAATTAAGCTAGCTGGCATGGTTTTTTTTTTTCTGAGAAAGGAAAGGGATATTAAGCAAGCTACAATAGCTGAAGTTTGTTAGCATTTAAGAACAGGTTGACTTTCACCCTTCAACCTTGCAAGGAATGAAGGAAGAAAGACTGGACGATACTCAATAGCTTCATCTATGTCACTCTCAAAGCCAAAAACTGTCATATGAGCATCTAGTCCGAAAAAAGTATATGGTGAAAATACAAAAATGAAAATTTCACTAGTTGTCCTATAACGATCTCGGTACCCTCACTATTGACCCAACACTGGTTACAGAGATGAGAACGTGATGATTTCCAGCATAAGGTTTCAACAATACCTATGGAAAATCAACTCATGGGATGAGATACCCATATGGCATATTATCAACAGCTATTACATGCCCGAGACAGCTAAATCCATTTAGACTCGTAAATGCAAGATTCTTGTTCCATTTCTTTTATCTGATTGCACAATGTCATCAATTTTCACACTTGTTTCTCTGCAGCATTACGTACTAATACATTGAGCTCCAGCATTACCGAATTTTTTTTCATATACTACTATTACAAAAGTTTACCACACGTTACAACAGGTAAAACCAGAGAACTATCACCATCTGCTTAAATCAAATTCCATTTGTATTGCCTAAAGAGTCAAGCAAACATCAACTCCACTTAACAATAATGTCTACTGTCTGCTACACCATCAGCACATACTACACTACAGAATAGCTCCGAATGAGAAGTATAAACCTTGCCAAACTAAATTTAAGAGAATCCATTAGGCATATTACAGCTAAGAAACAACTTGAGATACAAAACCAGCTAGTACAATACAAACTGCAGCTAGAAGACAACCGAGAATTTCACGAGGATTATTGGCACACAATTCTAAACTAGGTAGGTAATGGTCACGCCCCTATACCTTTATCCATTTAAGTACGAGGCTAAGGTAGAAAAATCAATATTCAAAGCTCATTAACGGCCGTCTATATATATGGATTGAAAATTAATGGCGTCAAAAAAATTCTGTGCTGACAGACATTTATTTTAAGAAAATAGTAGCTCAAATAATTAGCTCAGAGAGAAAGAGAAACATCAAGGAAGATAAATGCAAAAGACAACTCCAGAACAATGAATAAGAGAAAAAGTCATTAAGGGAGAAAAATACACGCAGTAATACAGAAATATCGAAGAAAACGAATAATCAAAAATTTACACAACGATCTAAGGGGATCCATACCGAAAAAAATTCAAACGCAGAAGCTGTAAAGTGGATCTATAGCGGAAGAATATTGAAATTAAACATTTTTCAAAAAACCGGAAAAAAAAAGTAGAAATGAGAAGTGTACCGATGAAATCAGAAAATCTTCAGGATATTGAGAATACGCCGATCATTAGAGGCTCTCGGAGAAACAGAGAAAACCTGAAATTGAGAGAGAGAATCGCAGGGAAGATGAGAGAGAAAGGAGTTTTGATTTTAATTTTTCCTAATTTTGGTTTTTATTTGCTTTTTGATGATCTATAAATTTTAATTTTGACTAGATAATGGGGCAATGTGACAGTGAAGAAGAATAGGCGTTATAAAAGAGATTTCTTTTTTTATGTCATTTTTAAAATTTGACGTATTTTATAAATCTCGTAAACTGTACGGGCAGTAGTTTACGTCTCTTTTGACTGTTCAAAGCTAACTTTAGAAATTTCACTATTTTAAAGAGAGAAAATGAAATGACGCGAGAGGAGAAGAGCAATAATTTTGGCGCCACTGCTCTTCGCGTTCCACATTTCAGTTTTGGACTGTAGCGCACCCGTGGTTAGACGGCACCGAGAGAAATATTATGAGAAAATCTCACTTTATACCCATTAATTTCAAATTATTTATTTTTTAATGTTCAAACTCAAACTATTTACTACTCCTACCCATGCTGCCCAAACAATTTACCCGATTTCCCATTAATCTTACGTCTGTTTGTGACTGGTGACTTTGGAAGTTCATCAACTCCTCGAACTGGCATGAGTGACTCATTCGGGTTTGGCTGATTGATTAACAAACTTGGTGGAGAATTCCGAATCTCCTCCTGTTTTTTTTTTTTTAAGAAATAATACCAAGAGTAAAGGAAAATGTAAAAAATTGGAGCGATACAGAAGATTAACATAACTTCTGAGTAAAGACGACATGCACAAATAGTGAAAAATAAAATGTATGGAGAAGGAATGATGTTATAAATAGCTAATAAACATTGAAGGACCTTGAAGCTTGAAACTCATAACTTGGTTTGTTTGAGTTTTTAATTATTTTGATTCGATCCTATATGGGTTTCTTTGGAAAGTTGATTGGAGGTTGTAGCTAAAGTTTTAGTCAATTTGGCGGAGATTTTGTAGTAGATTTTAGAAGTTTGGGTTGAAATATAGTTGAACAAGAGAAGAAGATGAATTTGTATTGTATACTCAAATAGTATACAAATATACCATTTTGGTATACAATTCATTCCAACTATATACCCTATTAGTATAGTTATATACTATATTGGTATTATATGCTAGTTGAATCGTTTTTTGGTTATATTAGCTGCATTTATTAGTACAATATTTGATTTTCTTTTAATAATAGTAATATAATAAAATATCTTGAAATACTTTATTATATTAATATGTGGTACACTATTTTTTTATTTTTCTCTTTATGCATGTGTGTTATGTAATAGTAGTATAGTCATATAGTTGCCGGGAATTAAACAGTAAAATTGTATACCATGTTGGTATAGTTATATGCCATATTGGTATCATATGGTAGTTTGAATATTTTTTTGGTTGTTTTGGCTGCATTTTTAACTGAATTCTATTCTGAAATTATTTATATGAACGTGATTTGCAGTGCTGGAATTTTTTTTGTGCTGATAGATATAGATTATGTGTATTATGTAAGAGTTTTTTTATAATTATAGGCAATTGTTGGAACGACCCTTACAACTATATACCCTGTTAGTATATGGAATGAGCAAGTTGCTTTGCGAATATTTAGTTTGCAATGCGAACATGTAATTTTCTCATACTTTTACTGTATCCTTTAATGTTTTGGTACAGTAGTATTGTCACAGATAGTTGTAGCAATATTCTAGAGCAATCATATACTCTGTTGGTATACATGTATACCATATTGGTATCATATGGTACTAGAAGTCTTTTTTGCTACTTATATTTTTATTGCATTTTCCAATATTTTATTATCATTTCTATTCTAACTAGTATATATGGAGATTTAGTGGCCGTAGATTATGTTTCTTGCTCCATCACTGGTTGGTGTTACTGCTAATGGTAGAGTATGTACTGATATTTGTAGGGAAGATCAAGGTTTGCATGGCAATCACGTGGAATTAGAAAAGGAAAAAGAAATAAAGAAAAAATAAAAAAATAAAGAAGGAGTCAAATTTGAGTGTGAAATAAGTTATGGTAATAATAACAATAATACGATTTGGGCAAAAATAAATGAATAAAAGAGAAGAAAATAAAAAAATAGGAAGAAAATGAGAAAAAAGAAAAGGAGAAAAGAAAGAAAAAAAAGGAAAAAAGAAAAGAAGCATAGAAATAAAAAAGAATTGGAGAATAAAGAAAAAATTCCCCACAAAAACTACTATGGGTAGGAAATATAATTAGTTTATGGGTAGAAAAACAAATGGGTAGACAAGGGTAAATAGTTTTGTTTTTGTGGGTAACTGTGTCAAAACCCCAAATATTATTGGGATTTTTTCTATAGGTGTCAATGGATATTCGAAAACCGTTTAAACCGATCTAACCGTACCGTACTGAACCGATTTTTAGATTTCTTTAAAAAAAAGTAAGTTTTATATAAATTTATAACCGCATCGATAATTAGGCTAGGTTTTTTATTTCATAAAAATAAATCGAAAAAATACCGAACCGTACCGAATAAATTTTACATGTGGATGTCACGACCTGGATTTCCCACCCTCGGGAGTCGTGATGGCGCCTACTAGTGAAAGCTAGGCAAACCAACAATTCCGATTAATTTACCCCTTTTCATTTTTAATCCCTCAACAATTTCAAGTTAGCATATAATAAGCAGCAAAAATAATGATGCGGAAGAACGAAATTTAACAGTTTAGCTAAAACCAATACGAATCCATAAACATAAACCACCATAACTGGTGTCACAATCTCACGGACTATCTAAGAATACTACGGATAGGGTCTGAACAAGAAAAATACATGTTTGTCTCTGAAATAGAAAAGAACAGAAATAAACTAGATAGGAAGGGGACGCCAAGGCCTGCGGACGAATGTAGGACTACCTCGGGTCTCCGATGGACTGAAGGCAGCAACCCCTAGCTAAGGTCTGTATGCTCCAATACCGGGATTGGTACAAAAGAGTGCAGAGTGTAGTATCAGCACAACCGACCCCATGTGCTGGTAAGTGTCGAGCCTAACCTCGGCGAAGTAGTGACGAGGCTAGGACACAACAAATAATTAACCTGCAGTTACACAGTATCTTGCAAAATAACAGTAACAGAAGTAATTCAAAAGTAGTGGGGGAGGGATAACATGCTATGGGGGAAATACAAACATAAAGAATGACAGTAATAGTGGAATAAGACAATTAAGGCATTTGAACCGAAAACAGCAAGAAATCATAACAAACAAGCAATAAGTGCACGACATCACCCTTCGTGCTTTTACTCTCAATCCTCACCAATGCAATCAGGTAATGAAAATGTGCACGACATCACCCTTCGT